TTTGGAGGAAAGCTTTGATATGTATGTAGAAACAGAAACAGCAGGAAAGCAAGTATACCTGCAGAATGGGCTCCAGGGCTGAAAGCAACAGCAGTGTCCAGTAAAAGTGAATGCAAATCGTGGACTCAAAAATGTAGCAGCTAAGTGACATAAAAAATAATTTAAAAAAGGATTTAGTCTGCTTTTGTTCTGGTGGCATGACCGAGACCTCTCTTGGGAACATGCAACTAATATAAACCTACTAGTATGGTGAAAATTAAATTTTGCTTTCTGCTTGGTTAAAAAATTTGGAAAATACAGTAGAAGTTAACAAAAGCACAAGTTTTTAAAACATTCTTATTTCCTTCCTTGCACATTGTAGGCACACCGATGTGAGCTGTGGGTGGCAGTCTCTTCCATTCCTGGTTGTCTAAGTATTCAGATTTGGTATCATAAATGGCATTTGTGTCACTTATGCACATGCAGGAATTCTGTTCCAGGCTGCAGAGCTACGTATGCATGCAGCCTAGGCATGACAACGGGCAACAAAATAAGCAAGACTCACCCCCAGTTGCTGAATGGCTAGGGCAGTCACCGGAGAAGCCATCTTTTAGGTCTACCTTGCCCGGGGGAGGGGGGGGCGGGGTTGAACTCAGGTCTCTCTGATATCTCAGTACAGCACTCTAGTTATCATGCCAGAGGTCTGGCGTTTCAGGCTCTTGGGTGCACCTTTTGAAGCTGCGCCACTACCACATTTGCTGGAAAAAATGGGAGGGAGAGGAAGTTTTTGCTTCGCTGGTAGTAAGAGCTTAGGCTGAAATCCAGGGCTCTTTTTTCTTGAGCAAGTAACGTACTTTATTGAGGTGCACAGCCTTTGGCTTGCTTTCTTCTGGCCCCACCCCTCCCTCACCTTCTCCCTCTACTGGCTTCCTAGGGGGCTGGCTTCCCAAGACTGCCAGAGAAGGAACTGGCTAAAGGCCCATTTGTGGGGTATTAGTTACAGTGCTGTACTAGGAACCTAGAGACCCGGATTCAAACACCTTCTGGGAATGGGGTGGCCTAGATACAGCTCCTCCAGCTTCCCCGGTGAGTGCTTTTTTCCCCTGGTTCAAGTCCTGCTAGTTGTGAGTTTTGGGCACCACTTTTAGGCAACTAAATATGTGCATAAGGGGCATCAACCAAGATGTGTACCCAGCCAATGGGTAGCCTACTGTGCCTGCCTAGTCTATGCACACAGGGGTACATGGCCAGAAACAGAATTTGTCCTGTGCCTATATGCCAAAAATTCCATGACAGACAACCAGATCTGGGCACTTAGTTGACTGGGAAGGGACTAGAATGACAGACCTAGCCTATTTGCTTTAATCGTAGTTTAAACCAATACAGTATTTTGCTCAAAGGCAAATCCCAGTGAAGGATGATGCCTTGTGGAAATGCTTACATGTTAAGACAACTTTATAAAATGCTAAATAATCCAAAACTGCTGAAAACATTCCTCATATTTAGATATTTCATGCATGCCAAAAGACATCAGTTCCTCTCCTTTAAATCATTTGTAAAAACAACCCATGAAGGTATGGAATTTCCTTGCTATTTTGGCACTAGAAACAGATGGATTTGTAGCCAGCAATATTATGCACCAGGAAAATCCATCTCTCAGCACAAAAGGATTAACTTGCACCACTGCACACTAGTATTGCAGCACATATGGTATGCGATACCACCCACTGTTCAGATATCTCTAGCACAGCCTGCCACAACAAGGCCAGTTGAGCTGCTGTTTCAGACCCTCAGGCCTGCACCCTCTGTTTCAGAATCTCTGTGGGATGCAGCAGGCATCGTGGGATATGGATTTTTTAATTTCTTCTGTATTTCTGTTCAAGTTTCTTGGTCAAAAAGAAAAGGGAAAGGATGGCTTTTGGCCTTATGGTAGATGCATCCAGAAAAGCAGCACATCTGTGGCCTTCTGGAGCAAAAAAAAATGTCTACCTGTATACAAAACACAAAGAGCCAACAGGCACCGCTTGTTGGGTCTTAGGTGCTCCTTCCTCCTTTTCTCACCTTTGAGTTTTGGTAAGAGAGATTCTTCTCTGCCTTCTAGGGACTGGGGAGGGCCTACCTTGATCCATCTCTCAGCACTAAAGTCCCATTGTGCTTTTAAGATGGGTTTGGGTGGTAAGTTGAGTCAAAATCTGGGGGTGGATGAGAGAGAAAAGGAACTGGTTTAGAATTAGCCCATCAGGGTGAGAGGAAATTATCTTAATCTCATCTGCCATTTCTAACTAAATACTGTTAAGGGTAAGTACATTTCTCCTAATTTATGTGCTTTAAAAAAAAAATTCTAGCAGTTTGATCCTTTTGCATTGCTCAGGGTAAAAATACCCCTTTGGGAGCCTAACAGGGTCCATGTTATATATGCAATATCATCTATATGCATAACCTCTTAATGTTTTTATTGTAATTAAAATCCTCCATAGTTGTGATGAATTTACTAATATTATCAAAGCTTGCATGATTGATAGATCCTGATGGAGGCAAAATGTCTGAAGCCAGCTGCAGTGCTCCAGTCAGCGTCCCACAATCATCATCTTCAACAGCAGCATTCCTTGTTTTATGTGTAGTATTCTGTTTAGCAGTGCCTAAAATCCCATTAGTCATCGTTGCCGCCACAGAACAGTTGATCTCCATCTTCACAGCCAGTGTTGTGTGTAGTCTGCTGCACAAATGAACTGTTTTATTGTATCCCCATGAAGAACTGGTCGCTGATTCCCAGTTGAGCTGTGCAAGCTTTGGCTCAGTGGAAAATGTTCATTGATGATTGAGTACTGTGTATTCCAGATGGTCGAGCTCTACAGGCTTCAGCAGGTTCAGCGTTATCTGGGCAGACCAGCTTGGACTGTCTTCCCCTTAAAGGAGGGAGAAGCTTGTAGTCAACTTCAGTGACCTGTTTCTCGGCTCCTTCAGCCTCCAGTGCATCTCAATTCTCCAGGTTACCTAGATGCTCAACTGGCATTTCTGGCTCCACCTAGCCTGACAACTGGCCTACAGCCTTAGCTCCCTGTTCAATGGTATGCAACAGTGAAGGGGGAATGTACTGGAATGCAGTTAATTCTCTGTTAAGGAGAAAGGTGCAGAGAAGTGCCAGAAAGGCTGGGTGATGGAAAAAAAATGTTGGGAACCTGGCTCTAGCCAAACAGTGCACTGAGCAGCAAAAAACGCTGAACTCTACAGCGTCACTACAGAAAGCTCAATGTGAAAGCCATGAAATTGCAAAATGGTGCCCTGAACAGTGATAATTCATGTACCTTGGAACTACTGTTGCAGGCACTTTGCAAACTAAAGTGGCAAATGTCTGGCCTCATAATTTTTATCTAAAAAACCAGATTTTGGAATAGGTCTCTGCAACAACGGTCAACTCTAAGGCAAATCACATAGTTATAAAATGCACAGGCCTTCTTCTAGCTGTGATTCTTTTTCATTTATGGTATATTATAGTCGTTTAACAAGAGATATAAGGATCAGTGCATGCTATTTAGGTTCAAAATGCACTTTATGTTGGTCACATTAAAATCTTATCCATCTTAGGTCTGCCACTCCAAAAGTGTTAACTGTATTGCCTGTTTGACATCAACAGTAAAATCTGCCATTTTATAGATAAGGTCACACTCAAGGTAATAAATAACAAGTAACTACAAAAGCAAAGGTGCCCTTACCTGAACCATAAATGAACACACCGTGAGCTCCTCAATTATTAACCAGTATCTCTTGCTTACACTGTAGTCACATGCATTGTTACATTACAGGTCTACGTCACATCTTGACTGGCTCTTACCATTACAAGACTAAAGTTCCTTATGGGCATATTGTTGAACTGTGTGTACTCTTGTTAAATGCAGCCTACCCAAGCACAGTAAAAATGAATCACAGTCAACCATAAGCAACACATTTGTTCATCAGTCAGTCTGTTGTTTAAATTTGGAAGACCATGGCCATTCTCCTTTATAACTACTGCTGTACATTCAGTTTGTTCTGTAACTCCCATCCTTTATGACGGGGGGGGGGCAACCTTTTTTGGAAGGCATGCCACAAATTAGCCCCACACTCTCCCTGAGTTCACTCTGATCCCCTTTTCCCAATCTTGTCCTCTGCTTTCTGCCCGATCTCTTGGCTCTGGTTTTTGCTTCCAGTCCTACCTGCTGCTGTGCTGCCTGTCCCTTCCCCAAATTGCTGTGCACCCCACACAGGCTGCCCACGCCACTTGCCCCTGCTTCACGGTAGTGAAAGCTGGTTTCAACAACACTGCTGGAGAGTGACAATCAGTATTTCCTATTAGATGGTTACAGTAGGAACTCTCACCCATCCCAACTCCAGAGTCTACCGCTGACCTTCTGATTGTCGTTAGACTGCTTGTTCCACAGTGAGGTCTGCTGTAAGGGAATAAATAAAAACAGCTCTTTTGGAGGGTTATCTTTACCATAAGCAAATTGTTATTGCCTTCTCTTTGCATGTTTATGGGTTAGATCCTCAGAGGTACATAGAGTAAATGTCAGAAGATGCAATAATTGGCATGAATTCTTGTATCATTCCCCTGCTTTTCTCAGCTGAAGGCAGGGAAAACTGCAGTTCAAGTAGCAATATATTCAAGTACTCCAAATACCTGGCTTTTTATACTGAAATTATAACATTTCTTGTCTTCTTGGTTGGAGTTTCTTTGCCAGTGGAGGGGAGGAAGGGCGGAGGGAGATTGTCTTGAAGTCGTCTTGCAATGTGGTCTTTACATGTTTTAAATTTACTTTTATTATTGCATATATACTGCTCAGGGCTTGACTTATGCTTGGGGTGTCGTCTAAGTCGGCCTTATTCAATTTTGAGTTGTTTTCCTTGCGAAATGGGCACATTTGTGTTATTATTAGGACCCTGCAAGTATAAACTGTAAGTAAAATGACTGCAGTGATACTTACTGCATTTGAAAGGCTGAACCTGAGCTTCTTGGCTGACTATAGCTAGGGGGTCTACTCAAATCAAGGACACAGCTGATTTATGGGCAGATTGCAGGGCTGACCATTTTCACAGGCTTCTCTCAGCGTCTCTTCCCTCAGTTGGCTGACAGGCCTCGGTGGCCCCACCCCCTGCCACTGGTTGGTTAAGAGGGCTGCCTATGATAAGGCCCTGCCCACCACTGCTCAGAGAAGGATGGGGCTGCAGCCATTTTGCTCGCTCCCCTTCGAACCTGCAGCCCCCCCTCAGCATTTTATTTTTAGTAAGTTCTCTCCCTCCCTCCCCCTCTGCAGATTTTGTGGACATTGCCCAATTTTGCAATTTCTGCAAAACTGCTATTTGAGTAGGTCCTTAACCATAGCCCAGGCCTGCAGTTCTCAACCTTTTGAGAGTAAAGGCACCCCTCTGAAAATAAACAACTCTCCTACCATGCAAGGGTCAGAATATTTTTGACACTATGGACCCTATTAGAAATCTCTGGGTTTACTTTGTGGACTGGATGTAGATGTCTGCATACCAAACAGTACTAATACTGCACGCCACCCTTAAAAGGATTTCATGGCACCCTTGCTGAGAACCACTGCCATAGGCAACTGAAAATGTTTCTGGATTCTGGTGTGGCAGAGACCATCCTGAGAAGGAAAGCAGCTCTGCTGCATTGTGCCTGAGCTCATCATGGAACCAAATGCCAGCAGGACTCAGGTTTTATGCTACAAGAGGGGTTTTTTAATTGTATGCTTATCATGATTTTTTCCTGTCACTTTGTTAACCAAGCATATTTCATTAATTTCAGTACCTCCTTCACAATAAAGGAGCAGAGATGTTTTAACAGAACAAATAAACCTGTAGTAAGTGTTATGAAATGACTATAGTTAAAAATACACACAACTTATAAAAAATACTTTATTTGTTATAAGAGTTCAGTGAGGTAAAATAAGTATACAAAGCAAATGTGAACAATTTTGTTTTGTTTTCTAAGAGGCCCACGGTCTGGAAAGAGCCTCAAAACTGATATCCCACAATCACTCGAGCAGCAAATTTCATGGGGGAGAGGAGCTGCATTTGATACATTTGCTATTCACACTAAGTGAGAAAAAAGCATTTCTGGTAATGGAGAGTCTGCCCATTGTACATTAAATAGAATTACGTGGACATAAAGGCAGCTGATCAAGATTGTAGCTGCAATTTTTTTTCCAGTCTACATGAATGATTTGCAGTTATTTTTCAGCAAATTTAGTCTCAAATTGTATGTCTTCTAGCTACAATTTCAGATTATTTCCACACCAAACTAAGAGTCAATTATGTCTAACCTAGACATCCATTAGGCTACTAGTTCAAGGGATCGGGAGTCATTTTCAGAAATCCACCTAAATTGCCTTCAAAACAAAACAAAGCAAAGCAAAACACATATCTTCTACAGAGTTTGCTAAAGGTTGTGGTGTTTAGTGCGAAATTCACAAATTGTCTTATTTCTATATTGGCCCAGTTGCTGAACTGCATACAAAATACTTATTCAAATCAAGAGGCTTCAGCACCTCTTTGTAACAAACTTGTGCTGTTTTGATATTTGGAAACTGCAGCTTTTCTAACATGATACAGTAGAGCCTAGTAACCATAAATATCATCAAATGGCTTATGCTAGGGCAAGTAGCTGAAGCCATAATAATGTAATCCTTTTTTTCCTTGGTGCGTGGTCACAATAAGCCTCTGGAAAAGATAACTACTGAGTTTCTGTCAGGTGATTGTTTCTGTCAGGTGATTGTTTTAGCAGTCACATAATCTTTCCTTTGATGTCCAGGGTCAATGAAATCCTAGTACCACCACGGTTTAGTAGTAGGTATATTAAAAGAATTTCTCTGTGATCTTTCCTGCAACGGAAACAGCAGTAAAATTTATTACTCTGTCACAATAAAGAGGTATTTGTATATTCTATTGTCCCAGTATTTCAAAGGGAGTTACTCTTTAGGTTACAGACAGAGACAAAGTCTTATAAATATAGTTAGTGGGCCACACTGTCAAGTGGTATATTGAGCTATCCTGATTTAAACCAGGTGATGGTCTGGCACAGTATTTATAGAAGACAGTTGTGAATGAGAATTACTTGATATTCATATGACTGTCACATGCTCTTCCATATAACTTAGCATCAGTTAAAAGAGCACTTCTACTGTTCCCACAGTGTGGGAGCATAGTTTCTCCTATTACTACCCTATGACAGAGTCACATGGGTGTACAGCAAGGCAATTACTGTAAGGACCTACAGGTTCACTCTGTGGACATCAGAACAGCTTTTGGAGAAGAAAGGTTAATTTGTTGGGAAGAACCAAAACCAAAACTCCCCTAAATTTAAGATGTCAGTGAGTGACTATGAAATGAATGCCATAAACAGATTAAGAGCTGGTATAATGAACAGCATTCTACAACTTTTTTTGTATAACCACATACCTTTGCATGTTTTACCATAAGTAAAAAGCCAACAGTTGTTTTTGGATTACTGAGGTAGCTTCACCACCTCACAACCCCTGGTGTTCATCATCAGAACATCACAATCTGAACCAGAGTTGACTTCAGAGAGAAAACAAGTGTTAAATTGTTCATGGGCACTTAGAAAAGGTACATCTTTTTGCTTTGGGGCTCGACTCCTGTTCCTGCTGAACTGAGCCAGTATGTAAAATCAGAACTGATATCAGCTCAGTAGGCACCGGAGGACGGGTCCATCCACAGCCTGGAACACCAGCAGCAGCCGTTAAGTGGCAGCTCCGGCCCGAAACAATCATTTCCTGAAAATAATACATATTGCTAAGCTACAACTGCAAAGAAATCATGACAGCATTCATTAAACGAGATCATACCTTACAGAACAAAGCTTTACAGACAATTCTGGCTCAGAACCATAAACATTCATTGCCCCACAGTTTCTAGAAAAGCATTGCTATTACATTACAAGCGGTATAATCTTTCAGGAACACTGATTGGTTCTTTGTGTAGCCAAACCTGAGCATTTACTGTGCATTCTTTACATTCTTGACAAAAAAGGTTATGAAGTCTCTGGCCTTTTCCAAGTCTCCGCCTCCTACTCTCTACCAGCTGGATTTCACACAAGCTTTTGCCATAAAACAACACATCAAGCAGCCGTGCATCTCAGCCAGTAAACTCACTCTGCCCTGGATAGGCTGACAATTGAAATGTTTCCATCTCACCTTCTCTTCAGGTGCAGAACTTAGCCACTGTGAACAAAGGGGAAATCAATCACTGTTCACCAATCAGCTAAGCTCTGCACCTTGTTAGAGAGGTCTCCGTCTGAGCATAATTAAAAACCAGATGAGGTTCTTCCGTATTTGCTCCATTTGTGTTTTGAATTTCTTTTCTACCGATGGACGGGGTTCCAACGTAGTTCTGAGACAAGTATGACACCTTTCATAACAGCAGCTGTGGTCATGGCTCTGTGGTAATCCCTGGCAATGTGATTTTAATTTTAAGTCACAAATCAGCATGCCAGGAACCCAAACAGCCGCAACACTATGGGAAACCTTACATGATCATTCTCCCTTCGCACGCTCAAGTTTAAAACAAGAACATTCTTAAGATAATGTAACGTAAGATACACAGCAAGAAGAAATCTAGAAGTGTTGTCCCCTTAAGGTAGCTGACTGTACAGTTATTTGGATCACCCAGTTGCCTTTCACAGTACTACAGAAATACATGCTACTTCTAGATGTCTGATGGCAAACGTACAGCAGCAAAGCATTACTATCAGACTGGCAATCAAACGTTTTTACTTCAGTGTAATCTCTCTATATAAGAAACGGTGGGAAGAGACCTTCCCTCCACGTTGCAGAATAATCCTTTCTAATTGCATACATGTTGTTTTCTGGCCTTCGGTGCAGTTCAAAGCACTTGGAGGCATTTAGTAAACTATGAAGATACTGAATATGATTTGAATAGGAGCTGTGATGAGATATTTGTGGTTGAGGGGGAGGGTTTTAGACATGCACAAGCTGAGCGTGACTCTGCATGCAAACATTTTGTTGTTTTTGCCCTTCTAGTTTTAGAAAGCGACTCCCCATCACCGGCATGCTGGCAATCTAAGCCTCTTCCAAGCCCACCACAGAGTTTTCCTGGCAGGCACAGTTCTTGTCTATATCCCAAAAGAACAGGGCTATTCATAAATAACTTGTTTGCCCTGCATCTGTCCTATTCCATATAAATAAAGTCAATGCCGCAGGCTCAAACGGAACCTGATTTCAAGCACTCGCCACATGTGTAGGCTTGAATGGAAGTGGAATTAAGATTCCTCTTCAGTACCAAAAACTGAGCAACAGTTTTCCTGAACTAGATGTCTGAATTCTGATACCACAAACTGACTGTAAAATTATGTGAACAACCAAGAGAATCAGTCTGGCAGATGGGTTGTATCATAAGGCAAAAATCTAAGGAATCCTTGATCTTCATACCAAATCTAATTGGCAATGTGTTAAATAAGCATGTGCAAAAACCATAGGGTTACCTCTTAGAGGGTGTTAAAATAGTAAAATATTTACTTCTTTCATCCTATCTTAATGCTATACAGTGTAAAAGACCAATTTAAGCGTATGAGAAAATGTCTCCATTCTGCATCTTTCTTGCAGTCTTGTTTTTTTCATGTTAGTGAAATGACTTCCCCAGTTGCCCCTTAGCCATTAATTTAAAGGAAATCAAAATAAAGTCACATATTATAAATAAAATGTGCACGCACAACACCCATTAGTGCATGCTCGTAAACAGTTCATTATTTCCTAGTGAGGTCAAGACTAATCTTACTTACCTAAAAGGATCTGACTACTCTTGAAGCAAAGTCAAGTCAGCTACATCTGTTGTCAAGCACAATTCTGGCATCATTTGCTTGCTTTAAAATGCACTACCATGTCCCATGCAGACATGGTTTCTTTTAAACAATTTCCTCCCCCCCCCCCATCAACATCATGCTTTCTTTTTGCTGCCCATGTTCAGCTACGACCATGTTTAGGAAGAAAATGGAGAACACTGTTAGAAGACTGGGACAGAAAGGGGCCACCTGGTCCCGAGCCATCGCATGCAGTACTTTGCCATGTGATGCACCCGTCTCATGAAGGCAATTGCAGGTCTCAATATAAAAGCCTCCCTGCACTCAGAAGTATCTAACACAGTGTTTCTAAACCCATGGGTCGTGACCCAACAGTGGGTTGTGACAATATATGAAAGGATCACAAACATGCTTCAAAAGTGGATTCTCCTTAAAATGTGGGAAACCGTGGCTTTTCCCGTGCAGGTGGATAGAGTTCCAGCGCCCCCCACCCCACATGCCCACCCTCTGCCCCACACACTGAGGGCTGGGGCCTGGGGGGGCACTGGGTCAGGACTGGCTGTCAATGTTTACACATGGGTCCTGGTGCAAAAAAAGGTTGGAACCACTGATCTAAAATACTGCATTTCAAACAGGTTTAACGAGTGATTCTCTGAGCTGAGTAGCAGCAAATCCCGCCTTGTGCCAAATATTACTATTTCCAGTGGTGTCCATATTCTCTCTCTTGCTATAGGGAAACTCGAGTGTGAAATATTTTAATCAAACAAAAATCACCTCTTTAAAATAACATCTCGGCCACCACTTTAGCTGAGGACATATCCATTTGTTCTCTTGCTGCAGCAAAGCATTTATGGGCAAGTTCTTGTTGTTTTGCATCTTCATTCACCATTAATTCTCCATATAGATACACACCCATTGCCTGCAAATAGAAAGAAAATACCTATTCTTTCCATAACCAATTACAGCTGCCTTTTTGTTTTCTTAAATGCAGGTGTGATCCTCTTAGCCCTTGAGACAATCCTTGTAGTACCGGCTTTCATTTGACGTGAAAGACCACTTGTTTTTGAACATGTACACACTTTTTTCCCCTCCAGAAAAAATGCCATCTCTGAGGCTATTCAGCCTAAGGAAACTTGTCTGCATGTTGCATTAAGTAAGTTACAAAAAGAACATTTCCACTAGAGATAGATAAACTATTAGCTAGAATCAGGCTTCTTATGTTAGGAAATGCTTTCCAGCTCCATTTTCCCCACTGCTTTTCAGGTTGAAATCTGTTTTCTTTTATCAGTAGCAGAGTTGTTGCCAAATGCCCCTTGTGTAGGAAGTCCGCCTTCTGCTAAGAGAACAGAAATGTGAACCATTTTTATAGGTTTGTTTTTCTGTCCAAATTGGGAACTTTCCAAAAGCAGCCCAGGAGAGGGCACATCAGTTGAAACAATCAATTCTGCAAGGTCTATATGACAGTTTTTGGCAACTGAATTCAGTGGGAAATAGTAGGTTTGTTTCAGGCTATATATTCATCCACTTGAAGGGTGATCTCTGGTTTGGTAGGGAAAAGGCAGCCTCCTCCTGCTGCCAATTTTGGAATAATCTCAAATCAGGAAAGAAAATTAAGATTTTGGGAATGAAAAAGTCACCTGCAAAACCCTCCACCTACTATAACAGCACTAGGATGTTACCCTTGTTTTCCAGCATCCTGAGTTAGCTTTGCAGCATCAGGACCAACAAACTGAGCTGACAATAACAGGACTCCTGAAATAAGCAAGGACTTTCATACACGAGCACAAGTTTGTAGACTCGGTCCCATCACATTGACTTGAGACTTTAATATGTTGACAGGTTCATATGTTAGCAACAGTCCAATTGAAACCCTGCTTATTAGTACAAGCTGACTACAGTTCACAGAGTGTAATTCCACTCAGTGCCAGAAAGGAGAATGTAGGTAGCATTATGGCAAACACTGCTTTTCATTTAATATATCTTGATAATTTATGAAGCTGATCTGGACCTACTGGAGTTTGAGAATCAGGAGCTCTGGGGCACTGCACTAAGCAGGGCACTAACCAGGGCTCGGTTCCCTTTCATGGAGAGTTTGGAAATTCTGGGGGCTTGTTCTGAATAGGAATGACCTTCTCCATATAGTTCTAATCACTTGCCCTAAAATCCAAACATGAAAATGCAGAAAACACTGGTTTTCTGTTATTCCCAAACAGATTAAATAGTCACATTTGCATTTTTCCCAGACTTTTAAAATAGCCAAGTCTTTCAAGATCGGCAAAGGCAAGCAACTGCTTTGACTTCACATGCAATCATTCCAGAACTTAGTTGTGCCACAGACTATGCACCGCTGGAGTAAATTAAATGAAGGATATCAAAGATTGCAGCATAAAAAAACACTGTAGTTATGGTTTCAAAAATTCTTTCCACACATAGCAGAAAAATGTTAATCCTTATTTGGCATAATCACTGCCTTAAATATACGGCAGTTCAGTTTAACTTTTAATGTAGAGCTGAAGAATAGGTTGCTTTTTACTTTCCTTTTCTCTTTCCACTTGGACTGTCACAAACTGTACCCCACTTTACAGAATAGCCAGGTACAGACATTACACTTTTACAATCGATCAGCATTCAGAAACCAGTTTATACCCATAACAGAACAGAAGTTTGGCACATGTAGACTGGTTTAAAAATGGCGGAACCTGGTCTAAGATTTGACCTCCCTGCCACCCCACCTCGGTCAAATGTATGTTCTGTTTGCTACCAATCTGAACTACACCTCTTACAGAAAACCAGGGAGCTTAAATCGATTCCACCTTGGGCTTTTTGAATGTCTGTGCCTAGCCAATGTGTACAATATACAAACCCCTGTCTGCACAATTGTTTATTTTTTTTATTATTATTATTATTATTATTATTATTATTATGTAGACATTTAGAATAACTTGTCTGCTAAGGATTTGGACCTGTGCTCTGGAAGGCAGGAATACAGGAAGTAGATGCTAGATTTGGGGGGAAAAGTACTGTAAAAACTGTGGCATTGCAGTGTGTCTGTGTGCGACTGGACATTAACATTCTCATAATATTTTGCAACTGTAGTGAGAATTGTTACAGCACAGTGTGTGGCATATAGGCACATACATATTATATGAACTTAGAAACATCATGCATAAGTTTTGAATTTGTTATGCTTTGTAAGATTTTTGTAATCGATTACTTATGCACAAATGATCCTAGGGGGTTATTTTAGCACAGTCATAGAAGGAATCAGATACGCATTTGAACTACAGGGATAGCAGTGAGTAAAAATAAATATGAGTAACCGCATAAGAATGAATGGTTAGATATACAAAAGCCTGATACTGAACTACCACTAACATGCTTTAAGTTTAGATACAGAACCTCAATGTGACTGTCTCGCAGCCTCAAACCTTCAGGTGCCTACAGACCCTGTGTGCCTCAGTTTCCACTCGTAAAGTTCCCAGGGCATCTGCTCCTGGACAGGCTTAGAACAATTTAAGTGTTGACCGTGCTGTGTAGCTCAGCGGCCAGCTTGCAGACAAGCCCACTGAACTTCAGGAAGCAGGCACTCCTCCCTCTCTGAGACTAGACCTGGCAAGACCTTCTCAAGGTCAGACCTCAGGCAAAACAGAGAAGGTGGTGCTGCTGCCAATGCTCCACATCTACCTACAGCCTAGCAGTGGGAATACTCACCTGGAAGGTTCGGTCCCTGCTCTGGTGAGTGTTTCGTGGGGAGCACGAACTAGAATCTAATTCAGGTATATGACCATTTACAGCTAGACAATGTATTTACTCTCTTGACACAGTGCACAGTGATGATACTGAAAGCATTAAATAAATGGAACCAACCTGATCTTCCCAAAGAAATTTTTCAACAGCACCATACCCTGCTGCATATTTATGCTTCACAACAAGCTCACACCATCGATGTCGAACCTTTGGGAAAGGCAAGTAAATATTAAAATTCATCCGGTATCTGCAGAAACAAATGCAGATAAATAATACATTTCTCAACAGCATTCATTAAAGCATTTGGCGAAAATGTGCTTTGTGAAACTCATTTCAAGTACTTCAGCATGTCAGTCTTGTTTATATACCAATGTGCCTCTAAATATGGGTGCAGAAGTTATGATTAATGACAGATGCTGTTTTTAGCATTGGAATATGTGCTTTTGAACTGCAATAGATAGTATTAATAGTATTCAGATTAACAATCTGCCCCACCTAAAATAAAAATAAGCATCCATTTTTGACCTCCCATGTATCTGGAAAAACAACCATCTTCAACTTGTTAATGAACAGGTGTGCCCACCTTCAGCTTAAGGTTCCCAATCTGTTTAAATTATATTTATTGTAAAAACATTTTTCAAGATACATCTGTATCAGAAGAAATACTTTCCCCATTTCTCTAATAACTCTTAAGACAAAAAAAGAGGAGGAAGTGAATGTGTCAGACATCTGGAAGCAAACACAGGATACAACTGAACAATTTCCTTGAGTAAGCGTCTAACACAAGAGGTGATGAGGCTAAGGCACGTTTTTGTACCAGCTGTATTTCTGGGACGAGTGCTGTGTCTACACTGAGATTAAAAGGATAGAAGTGAAATACAAAAACATGAAACAAAGAATTTACACTTGAGTGAACCAGAGCTCTGCCAATACAGCTCTGCCAGAATGTGTCTAAACCTATTCATGCTCAAGGAACAGGTCTCTTGTACAAATACACTTCTAAAAAGGTAGCTATTGGCATACTGAAGGAAAGCACAGAATCCTGCATACAAACGCCTAGTGAGCAACACGGCTATTTAAGTAAGCTGTACAGACAATCCAACTTTCAAATATGGTTTCTTTATTTTTTCTTGCATTCTGCTGCTTTTAAGTTACTGCGTTTGTTTTTAACCATTCACTGTTGTGGCTTTAAGTGTCGCCTTACACTACATCAAGGTTTCTTCAGTTTTAGTCAATGAGAAATCTACCATTTTATATTCCATTACTGGCTCAGCACTGGCCCTAAAGGAAAGTAGTTAAGTGCATTAAAAAAAAAAACTTACATTACAGTTTGTTTTTGCTGCCTTTCAGAAGACAAGCCAATATGCCAATAGCTACCTTTATAATAATCAGCTTTTATAGTAATCCTAAAATGCAAGTAGTCTGACTGCTGCAACAGCACTCAGGTCCAAAATGAAGACTTCTCAAAGCCTGTGCTCAGCAGCTGTCCAATCCTGAGACACCAGAGTTTTCACTGGTAACATGTATTTGACACTTTGAGATCTTGAGGATGCCAGCTGGCAACTTGGTGTCTGACTCCATTGGGATCCACAAACTGTACTCCCCACATATCTCACCTGCAGGGCCAGATGCAAACAAAGAACATATTTCCTGGACCACAGCCACAGCAATAGGAGGAGGGAGGAGGAAAAGGAAGGTGTGGGGGTAGTGATGGTGCCAAGCCCCATTCTCCAACAGCTCTCACCCAGTCCCACCTCTGCTTGAGGAGAATTGGAGCTGCAGGTCTCGAGTGCTTTAACAACGAGGCTACAGGGTGTCCTGAGACAACAGCTTTCTCAGTTCCTCAAGAAGCAGTTTCACTTCGTAGGAACTGATTCAGCACTAAACTGAGCTAGGCACTCTCCTGCTCTCCGAGTGTTTTCTCTGGAGAAGGGGGTCACTGAATCTGGGCTGTATATTCCAGCAGGGAACAAAGCATCCAGAAACTAGGTGGTGCAACACACAATGCTGCTGCTCACAAATCTAGCATCATAATCTCACTAGCTTGTGTGGAAGAGAAAAGGGGTTCTCACTTCCTGCAGTACTATGTTTCTCATACTGTCTAGACTATATATGGCTCCCTGTTAAATATTTATCTTTGTTTGATTCTCTGATCTACAGCTGCTTCCAGGAGGCAAAAAAATGGATTTGGTAAACCATCTATTTCCTTAGGTTATCACTTTCTCCACAAGGTTTTACATTTAGCCTCAGTTAAAATATTTAGAAAAAAGGTCTCTCTACTGAACCAGGTTTGGGGTAGCTCACATTTCCCTTTCTGGGATCAGGAGCTGGAGAAGGAGTAAGTGGTAGATTCCCAAAGGTGTAGTACAGAGAACGCACCGTTTGGGGCAGAAGCAGCATGTCTCCCTTCTCCCACAGGCAACACGTTTTCCTCCTGTTTCCACAAGGGCCAAAAGGCACTTTCAGTGGAACAAACTGCTGGAGTGAGTCATCGCCAGAGCTCGTGCAGATGCAATATTCCACTCACTCCTGTTTATTTATTCATTAGTCACGTGCAGTGGCTCCCAGCTAGCAGCAAGCAGAGCTGCATGTGGCTTAGCTTCAAGACAACGCAAGGCCAAAACAACACAACCACACCTTGGTTAAGACCTGCTTTCAGCACGTACCAACCGAGCTGGTGCT